GGCTGAATGGCCCGTGTATGTGACCGGGTACGATTGGCATCCAATGTTGCCGGTCATGGAGGGCCAGTCGTTCGTGCCTGCGCGTTGCCCGCGCGGGCAAGCGCGCCGTCGATCCCTTATCGTTCATGCGCGCGGGCGGTCTTGCATATCGCGCGTGGGGCGGCGAAGTGGAGTGCAAGTGCGCCTTGATGGTGCGGTTGATGATCGCGTGCGTTCCCAAACGACGACTTGTGGACCCCCGAGACAGACGGAACGGGCCCCGCGATTCTCCCAACATGAGAACGCACACATTCAATCCCCCAACATGTAAATTCACATTTTCCTTTTTCCCAAAACGTGAATTCACATTCTGGCCCCCTCTCAAAGATTCCAACACAAAACTCAAAAATGACAACTCGCACCTTCCTTTTCCCAAATATAATTGCACATGTTCCTTTCCCAAAGTTTGAGTTCACATGTTGTTTTCCCCACGATGTGAATTCTCATTGTGTCCTGGCCCTCAAGATCCCCCAGGCTCAGGCGCAGAGTTCCGCGTGTCAGATTGGCTGGGCGATGTTGACGCTCACCCCGCCGCTTTTATTCCAACCTTCTCTTTTTGCGCCCTCAGCGCACGTTGCCTTCGTCGCTTTTCCCCAACCACCCGACTCCTTGCCTCATTCACCCTCAAGTCTAGCGCGGACGCAGGCGGGGGGCTTCAAGTGGTTCCCGCGCCGAACGTAACAATCGAGGATGCATCGCCCATGCGCGGCCTATCGAGACACCATTGCCGGGGCCCTGCGGCCGACCCGACCCGCACATTCACCCTCCAACTGCTTGCCGCCAGCGCTGGCGGCGACGCGCAGCGACGCGGCGCTTGAGACATCGCTCGCGGCAGCACTCGCGCCGTGCGCGGGCGCCGGGGTCGGGCAGCCGCCGTCCGACGCGCTGCTCGACATCGAGATGCCAGCGCCCGCCGGGCGGCTCAGCGACGGGGCGCGCGGCGGCGCGCGGTGGCGATCGCCCCACCGGCGCCGCCAGGGTCGAGCAGGCGCACTCCGACGCGCTGCGCGACGATGCCCCAGGCGCCCATCGCCTCGCTCAGCGGCGCGGCACTCGAAGACACGCTCGCCCCACCTACAACGGGCCAGCGCGAAGCAAAGAAGCCGGGGGAACCGCGGGGGTCGGGCTGCTCAACGGCGCGCACCTGGCGAGAATCGCGGCGGTCAAAGACGCGGCACTCGAGACGGCAATCGCACTGGCGGGCGCAGGGGGCGAGCTGGCGCCCCACGACGCAGCGCCCAACGTCGAGATGCCAGCCCCCGTCGCGCGGCGCAGCGGCGCGGCGATCAAAACAGCGCCGCTCGGCGATGCGCCGCTGGCACCCGCCGCGGCCGCGAGCAGCGCGCTGCCCGACGTCGCGACAGCCTCTTTCCCCGCAGGCGCGCGTCGGGGGCCAGCTGGCGCTCGCCGAAGCGCAGCTCGGCGATGCGCTGCTGGCGCCCGTCGCGGGTCAGCGACGCATTAATCGAGACGGCACTCGCGCCCCTCGTGGACAGCTGGGTCGAGCCACTGCTTTCCGACGCGCCGATGCGCGTCGGGACGTCGGCGCCCGCCGCGCTGCTCAGCGACGCGGTGCCCGAGGCCGTCCTCGCCCAGCCCCTAGGCGCCAGGGTCGATCTGTCACCCCCCTGCGCATTCGGCAGCGATGCACTGCTGATCCTAGCCGCGGCGCCCAGCGTCGCGGCGTTCGAGACTCTCGACAGCGCTCGCCCCCAACGCGGTCGCCAGGGTCGGCCTGCTGCCCCATGACGCGCTGCGACGGGTCGACGCGCCAGCGGGCGCCGCGCCGCTGGGCCACGCAGCACTCAAGGAAGCGCCCGCCCCACTGGTGCACGCCAGGGTCGAGCCAGCGCTGTCTGGGCAGTGGGCAAGCGCGGCTCGTGAAAATGGGGAGAGGAGATCGCGGCCCACGGCAACAGGGCGACGCACGCACCCAACACAGTGGGCCAATGCAGATCGCGGAAATACTGGGCCAGGGACCTAGTAAAGCTCGGGGCGGACCTCGAGGCGGCGATCGCCTCGCTCGCGGTCGCCCTGTTAGAGCTGCAGCCCCTCGTCGCGCCGCCCGCCGATGCGCGGCCGGCGCCCGTCGCGGCGGCCAGGGAAAGTGCGCCCGACGCAGCGTTCGCCCCACGCGCGGACCCCGGGGTCGAGCCGGTGTCTCCCGCCGCGATGCGCGACGTCGAGGCGCCAGCTCCCGTCGCACATCTCAACGGCGCAGCACACGTGGCAATTCCCAAACCGCCAATGCGCGACGGGGCCCCGCGCCCCCAGTCGCGTCGCTCAGCGATGCGCTGCCGTTGCTTACAGCGGCGGTCATCATGGAGGCCAGCGACGTTCCGCTCAACGCAGCGACGCCAGTGCCCGAGGCGGCACTCGTCCAACGTGCGGTCGCCAGGGTCGAGCTGGCGCCCCCCGCCTGCTTCGCTCGCTGGGGCAGGCCAGCCCAGACGGGCCCCCGGCTTGCGCCGCACCGCCGATATCCTGAGGGAGCAGGTGCTCTCGCGGCGCCTCCAGGAGGGCCGGCTTGGACTGTCGACGGCAGGCGGCGGCGAATTGGGGCGCGGCCACGCGCGCGCAAGCCTCCCCCCACCGTCGCACTTGCAATCCGCGACGCCCCCAGCTGCGATTTTGGGAACTGCCGACCTGGAGTGGACTGCGTCGAGGACGACCCTGAGCTACACGCGCCGCTCCTAGCATCGCTCATGCTCGCAGCCCCGCGCAAGGGGGGGCGCCGCAGCCGACGCCGGCCACTTGCCAGGGGCTGGCGCGCCGAGCGGGCAATCCCGAGCGCCCCAGGGCGCGCGGGCGAATTCCTTGCAAGTCGCGGCGACGGCGCAGCTCCAAAGCGCGTTTCTGCCATTGACGGCTGCGCGTTTGTTTTCGGCGCTGGCCCCCCTCCATCGCCGCCCGAGCAGAAGTGGGGCGAACTGAAACACGCGAAGCAAGCTAGGACCGCCAGTCGCCCCACGACAGCACGAGGCGCAAGATGCGCTGCGCAAAGCCCCCAGATGGGCGACCCCGACGCCCCTGTCGCATCGACGTAGAAAACCAAAGGCAAGCGCCGTCCGCTCGAGCGTCGCCCTGACTGCGCGGCGCGTCGCCGGCAACTTCCCCGCCCGCTCAGAAGGCCAGGGGCTCGCGAGCGGACGCGCCGACTCGCTCGCGCGGTGCGCCCCCAGCATCGCCCCCCGCGACCGCGGAGGGGCGCGGCCCGTCGAAGGCCGCCCGTCCGAATCGGTGCATGCGGAGCATGCCCAGGCGCTTCCGCTGCCACACGCTGAGCTACAAAGAATCAGTTTGCCCTGTCAGTGCCTCAGTCGCCGGTGCCCCCGCATGCGTCGGAAGCTCAAGATCAGGCCGTCGCACGGGCCCCGCATGCGCGCAGGCGGGACCGGCGTCTCCGGCATCCCTCCCGCCGTCGGCGAGACTGACGTCGCTGCTAGCCTGGCCTGGGCCCTGGCGCTGGAGCAGCGTTAACCCTCTCCGACTGGTGATGGGAGCGAGGGACTAGACTTGACGCCAACAGGGCAGCGGGACCGCCGTAGGTCAACTGGACTACCCAGTGCTGGTTCTGGTCCCCCGTGCGTCCAATGACGACGCCATGTTGGCCGTGAGTGAAGTTCGTCACCAGGCTGGCGACTGCAACCTCGATGCCTTCCTGGATGCACGTAGGAAGTGGGGCCAGGGTAGGGTTCGCGCGGTCCTGCAGCGCTTCGATCCTGGTGGACCTAGCGAACTGTCGCGCCGCGAGTCTCTGTGGCCAAGCCTGGATTCTCGCTGAGATCCACCCTGGTGGTTGCACCCATAGAGTTTGTCGGTGGCTTGTTAGCCTAGCATTTGTCCGAAACTTCGTCGCATCCTGATGGTTCTTGACGATCGGCGAGCTGCGGGATGCGACTGGAATGCGAGGTCTCGTGAAGAGCCCTGTGAAGCGGAGGAGCGATCGCGACATCCCAGTTTGGTGCATCGCTGCTGCTGGGGAGGGTGGTGCCGTTACCCTAGCAGGCGCCGGCGGGGACCATGGACCCTGCTGAATCACGGTTGGTGTTCGCTTTTGTGCGCACTAGAGGGCCACACCCTGGTGTAGCTGTTTCCCCCCGCACAAGTTCATTAATCCAACCATGAGCCCGCGCTGGTCGGAGTTTCGTTGCCGGTATACGTTGTCAAGATCGTGCTGGCGTTGGTGAGCAATTCGTTGTGCGCACTGGCTGCCGAATCGACGCCACCGCTGCTCTGGAGCGCGGCGACGTGAGTTTCCTTTCGGCTGCGGCTGGTGACCTACCGATCCGTTGGGGTTGCCTTTCAGGCGGCGCTTGTCTGGCGGTTTGGACTTCGGCGGCACATGAAGCGTGCAGAGAGCTCTCGGGAACTACTGCGGCGCACGCGGGGATGTGGAAGAGGACGTGACACGAATCAGTCCCGTGGGAGGAGGAGGAGGAGGAGGAGGAGGAATAGGAATAGGAGGAGGAGGAGGAGGGGGAGGAGGACGAGCAGGAGGAGGAGGGGGGGGAGGAGGAGGAGGAGGGGAAGGAGGAGGACGAGGAGGAGGAGGAGGAAGAAGAAGAAGAGGGATATGGAAGAGGGCGTGGCA